TCCACCAAGCACCCATACATTTTGCAACATCAACATTTTGCAAAGTTGTGTTAGGTAACACAATACTCAAACATTCATATCTGAAATTTAAGGTTATAAAAACAAACCAACCATTATCAATTTCAAGTATTAAGCCCAAGACAGGATTGAGGGAGGGTAGGGGTCATGTTCCCCAATCCACCATCAACTGTAGTAGCATGACTTCGGAGAGTTTCATCAGGTCTTCCTCTACCATGAGGACTGCTGACACCTCTTCACTGCTACCTCCACCACCTATTAAGTAGCATTTAGCCTCAAGTTAGTGGGATTAGCAACATGTACTTAACTTATGATTCAACACCCAAGAGGTGATTAATTTTTGCCATCCTTTTCATGCTGCAACAACGTCCTCTTGCACTGCAGCTCCTTCTACCACAGTCAGTTTTATATTCTCTTGGATCCCCCTCAATAAGCAAATAAGGAAGAGCACAGCAGTCTCCCTACAGAGGGATGCCTCGTCGGAGCACGGCTCTTCAGACAATGCGGCCAACCTGGCCACCCATGCTACCGCTTCCCGAATGCAGCAACACTGAAGGCAGAGCTTCGGAACAATCATATGGTGCACACGCCAAAACATGGCTTCTTAGAGGGACAGGAGGTGGCGACCGGGGAGGATCTACAGTAAGCAGACCACCCCCTTGATCCATTTTCCTTTCTGCATTGTGGGCTTAATCTACTAAACAGAGATCCAGACATCAACATTTCAATTAGCATTAATCAACCAAGTGCTAGTGTATAGGCTAGTGTTGTGACACCTTCTACTTACACCAATGTAAATCCACCTGCATCATCATCAGACATAAGGCAAAGGATAATGGTGAATGTATCGCACTGAAGCAAAGTTTGGGATCACTTTAAGTGCCTCCAAGGGAGCCAGCTTTCAATGTTCAAATTGTGCAGCAAGGAAGTGGGTAGGGGGTGAGTGAAAGGTCATCTCACTAGTGCTGGTATAAAGAAAAATTTGCAAAGATACCATAATTCTGTATTACTGAGGGAAGAAGCAGAACAAAAAAGAACTAGGGCAGGCAGAAGGTCCATTGATGTGGTATCTATTTGTGTGCTGTTTTCACAACCCACTACCAGCACTACCTCCTCCAATACTACTACCACTACTACCTTGAGCCAGAGCAGGGTAATGGTGAGGATAGTGCCAGTAGTTGGACCTCTCATTATCCGGTGAATTAAAAAAAAAAAAAAAGGTTCCCCTACCCTAGCTACTACTGCCAGTGCCACTTCCACCCACTTCCATTAACTGATTTACAATTGTTTTACTAATTTGTGATCTATGTTTTATTTTATTTCTCGTATGAGACATATTTGATTTGTAGTGTGATACTGTGCCACTGCTTGTCCTTTGAAAATTGCAAGCAAGCTTCTTCCTTCGGTATTATACAGCAGTTTTGCAGACAGGGTACGGTATAATTCAAGATGAAGAATCAGCCTGCATATTATTTTCTTCTTTAAAAGGACACTCCACTATATTTCATGTACAAGAAGAGTAGGTTGCTAGAATAGTTTACAATGAAAACTTCATTTTTTTTGGATGACAGTTGCAGAAGAGGCAGCAATGTGGGCTACCAAGGTGCGGTGAGAGAAAGCTGTACTGTTGGTGGTGGACTGAGTTGAGAAATGTTTTATGTAACCAAGATACCTGACATAACCCTTGCAAGTCCTGCAGTGCAAATTGAGCATTTGATTTGGTTAAGTAGGTTGTATAGCTATTATGAATGTCAGGGAGAACTAACAAAGTCCATGGTTTATATTCTGTTTCAGTAACAAGAGATAAGGAGTTTCAGTAACAGGAGTTAATAATGATACTCATGATGACCAGATTACAGGAAACACTAAGAGTAGGAAGCCCTGCAGGAATTAAGACATGAGTCCAGAAAGGAAGAAAAATGGTTACAAAGAAAGATTGAGAACATTGTAAAAGCCATAGGAAAGAGAAATGGATAGTCACAGTCATTAAGAAAATATAAGGAGCATGAAACATTAAAGAAAGGGACTGAGCACTGATCTGCATAATCAGCCTAACTTCACAGTAAATTGGCTCCATACTTGCATTTCTGTGCCCGCTGGGCACGCAAATGTAATTATAGTACCAATTTATTATAAAAGGAGGCCACTGTAAAATTAGGCAAAATAAATCACAGTGCATCTATATGCACTTAAAATATAGTTACAGTTACATAGGTGAAAAGAGACACGAGTCCATCAAGTTCAGCCGTCCTCGCGTCTGTTTTTTTGCTGTTGATCCAAAAGAAGGCAAAGAAGGCAAAAAAAAGTTTGAAGCACTTCCAATTTTGCAACAAATAGGAACAAAATTCCTTCTTGACCCCAGAACTAAATCCAACGGCAGTCAGATTTATCCTTGGATCAAGAAGATATTATCCTACAGATCCATCGTTCAATACTAAGTGTTATTTCTTTCTTTTTTTGGGAGAAGCTCTCTGCAGTACAAGGCACCTGTGACAGGGATGGGTTTAAAACCAAGGAGTTGGCCTAGACTCCAAAATATATATATATATATATATATATATATATATATATATATATACATACATATATATACACATACATACATACATACATACATATATGAAAACAGAAGGCTGCACTCACCTTAACATGCATAAATGGGGTATATCATAGTATTACAGAAGTTAATATAAAATATATATAGTTATAGGTCATACTGTATGAATATATTTTGTTTACCCTTTATTTAGAGCTGTGAAATATGTTTCCACATTATAACTAAAACAATATTTTTAGAAATATGATAAATTGAAACTGAATATTTGTCTCTTGTATTTGTGTTTAGTAACATGGACAGGTAAAGCTCATTGAAGTAGGTATAGATACGCTCTTAGTTGTTGACAGCTGTTTTCATAACTATTATATTGTAAAAGATCTGCAGCATATTTTGACAGTGCAAAAAGTTTTAAAAAGTTAGCTCTTTTACAAAAGGGTGACAGATGGATGGATGTCTATAACACCACCATTCTCAAAAGAGGACATAGATTAAATATGTATAGCATAATATAGAACAGGATACATTTTTCAAGAATGCCCTCTTTATAGCAAGACTTGCTAGGCCTTTGTTGAACTTTACCAAATGATAATCTAAGGATAAAAATAACTAAACTAAACAAATGATTTTCATTCTCTGCAACTTCTTTTTTTCCTACCCTAGGCTTTTTACCACCCGAAATAAAAATACAGTTGCCGCTCCCTCATGTATTCCACCTTCAGTCACTTTGCCAGATTTTCTGTTATCTAATTATGATCTTGCTTCTGGTCACTAGTCTCCACCTGCTTTGTTCAACTCAGTCAATCCTTTTTTCTGTTTCTCAACTCTCTGTCCCCAGTAAATAATCCAAGGGTGTTTTTTTTTTTCTGCTGTGAGGTAAAAAGTGGAACTGTCACCCAACGCAGAGGTCACAGTTCCACCCAGGTGCAGTATATAGGGTAGGAGCTAGTGCAATTATGTACATATAAGTAGGGTGAAGTATATGGCCTTCAAACTGGACAGCTAAGCACTTTTATATTATCTATGTAACACATTAACAGTTGTTTATTTACATGTTTTTTTAAGGAGTGGGATTCAGTGTTTTGCACAGAATGTCAGTCAGTCCATGGTTGTGACTGAGGACTCCCATATGTCACTGTAGTTTTAAGTGGTATGCTCTGTACTAAATGACAGACACCTAACAGTGATAGGGATCACAGAGCCTTGCAAACTTGCTTTCCAAATGATTCAATACTGTTAGAAAAACTCTCAAAAGAAATCATCAATAAAGTCTGTGAGAATGTTTGTAGATAAATTATTTGGAACATTTTATTTTATAATATGTTCTCAATAGTTGCACGAAAGGGATAGTTGACAAAGAGTTTATATATTTATTTATGGGTTTTTTTTCCAGTACATGAGGTTTGTAAAATAATCATAAAACTGATCCAAAATTATAGGCAGATTTTGCCCAATTCTGATGAATTATTATAAATTATGACCGTTCAGTTAGGTATTTCTGTTATTATTAGTACCATCATATAAACATAGCGCCAACATATTCCTCAGCGTTTTACAATAATATAATTTGGTTCCAGATTCCATCTGTTTGGATGCATCTTGAAATCCAAATGATACCTGAATGTTTTTTCCCGGAACTGTTCATTAAAATATGACATTATTAAATCTTATGATAAATATCTAGAGTTCGGTGTACAAACGACCCTTGGTGGTATTGTATTAATTTTTACAATTTGCAGGCAGTATTCGGATTTTACTGAATAAACCTATTTATATTAGTTTGGGTTGGCTCATTATCTGGTAAAGTTAAAATTCATTAAAAAAATAATTGCCTATAAATAAACTATTCACGATATCACTAGAAAAAGAAAAACATATTTTGCTCTAGTTTTATTTTGTAAGTAAAGTTTAATGATAAAATAACTTTTTGGGTGAATATATAAAATATTTCCAATAACTGACCAGTTATATCACTAAATCCAAGTGTGCACGATATATGTTTGTTGTTGCAATATAATACATTTGTATAATATATAATTATACAACATGTATCATGGAAAAAAATTTCAAAAAGTGCCACCAAGTGAAACCAGCTGAAGTATAAGCATGAGGGAAAATGAATGTATAGTACACAGCTCCACTTAAAATGCTCAGAGAGGGGGGAGGATGTGATGTCACCGCCCCTCCGGTGAGCCCTGTCCTAGTGGGGGCTGTAGGAGAGACAGGCACAGGAAGGGGGAGCCACGCACTCCCTTAACATCTAGCACTGCCCTGCCTAGACATGTCCTCACATCGTGAGCATTAGATCAACTTTTCTAGCCGATCTATCGCTCGGAACTTCTCCCTGTTTTATGGATTCCTATCCTTTTTGATGGTGTCCCAGCACCGGATCCAGGGATTTAGCAGGAGTCCCGCTGATGCACTCCAGGGTGGATATGTGGAAAAAGAAACGGAGGAGGTGAACTCAACAGCTCTGCTAGAACTTCTCTGGCCGAATCTGATGGAGATCAATTCGAACGTTGGGACTATGCGCACAAGATTCTAATAGCCCCTGGTGAGTTACTAACAAAATGGATACATGATAGCTAGTCGGTAACTGCCGAAACTGTCTTTAAAGCAGCACGCACTTTGATACAAAGTACAGGAGTTTTACTAGCTCTCAGCGGTCAGTCAGCTGGCAAGGAAGGGGTTAAGTTATCTATATAGTTTTGTGTGTGTGTCTGTCACTGATTCCAACCTTTGAGAACTTTGTGCAATAAGGGGGAGTCCTTGGGTTAGCTTGTATTGAGAGACTCTGTACAACAAAGCATTGTTCTCCGTGGAAGGTTTTTATGAAGGAGGGGGAGGCCAGTTATAACTTGAAATCGCTCTAAAAGTGCTGGAGACGTGTATGGGCATTTCTCTGAATAAATCTAGCTTTCTCACAGTGGAATGAGGTCTTATTTGTCTTGAGAAGTGTTCAGAATGTGCTGTCCAACAGTTATGTTCAGAACCCATTTGTGAAGTGCCAGATGTAATCCTGTCCTATCACAGATGGGAGACCAGCATTTAACTCATCGGGTGCCAAAATGAGCACACAGTGTATGTATGTGTGTATGGGGGAACGTGTATGCAAGTGGTTGGCACTGATATGGTTAAAGTAGTTGAATTTCTGCAAAAGCTGACTTTTCAGTGCCATTAATGCAGTTGTCTGCTGTAACCCTCTTGGGGCAGCTCAGCATCATCTCACTGTTTTTTTTCCTGAGAACTAAATAACTTTTTTTCCCCCTTTCCCTCCTTTGATTTATTGTTATTGAGAGGCAATCGCTGAGATGTAGTGCTTGTAGACAGAAAGGTGACATTTTGAAGTAATGCTTCTGCCTACAGTAATCAAAGCTGCGAAAATCCTCTCTAGATGGGAATAGGCTGTGCTGTTGTTTAAAGGAAGTTCTGTTCCTGATTGATAGGTGACATCAGACAGGTAGTGACTTCACATTCAATGAGTTGATGGTCACATTGCCACTTTTCCCTAGAGGTGCCCATACAGCATGCTTCCTGCAGGGCAGGCTGAATTCCCATAAGCTTCATTTTTTTTATTTATTTAGGTAAGCTATGGTTTCCTTGCACACAGACACCAGTGACCTTCCCAAGAGGGTAGGGACAGCAGGATGATAAATAGTACAACGTTTCCAATCTCTTGCTGCTAGGCCACCATTTTATTCCCCTGTCCCTGATTTATGAGCCAGTAATTGTGAGATTAGTGCAGTCTGACTGCAGGGCACATGATTTTTTTTTCCTCCTGACTGTAGATGTAGCTCACACAGAGGCCACACCTGTGTATACACAAAATGTCCATGGGAAAATTGCTGGGGCAGAACTGCTAAAGCAGTGAGAGAGATCTCGAGAACTGTGCACACATGCATGGCTGTTTAGTATACTCTGCACTGTACAGAGTTAAATTGCAAAACGGAGGCAAAAATTGCTGATCTTGAATATTTCTCTTACTCCTCTTTAGTCACAGCTAGGCTCTTTATTTTGCCTCGGTTACGTAATTCAGATTTTAGTTTGGTATAATTCCCAGTTTAGTAAATAACACTGGTTTATTCAAAAGAGAGTGTATTGAAAACAGAAATTGTGAAAAATAGCAATGCTATTCTCTAAACTGCAATCTTTAGGCAAAGTAAAATGGAATTACAAAAAAATTCACAAGTCTGTTATGTGTCTAGCTCTGCTTATTTTAATCTTAAATTTACAATTTAGAATAGGATAAAACAGGTAAGAACTGACTTGGCTCAAAATAGATCATTTGAAACCATTCCTTGATTTATCTCATTTTCAAATCTGTAATATTTTTATGCTTTGGTTCTTATTCACCGTTCGTAGTTGCATACATAGCTGAAAAGAGACCTGCATTCATCAGGTTCTGCCTTCCTCACAGTTAACTGTTTAGTGGATAAACCCGATTGGATATCCTGAGGTTTAAATAAATGTATGTCAAAGACAATTGTTACTTTTTAACTTAATGCTAATAATATATAAATATACTGTAAATATCTGTGCCCCCGCATAGCACACAATCTATCGAGTATGTTATAAAGAGACAAAATAATTACACATTTTTATACAAGGATGATAAGCAGGTTAGAGTTGCAGATTTTATTACAGATTTGACCATTTTGGCCTAAAATTGGGATTTGCCTTGCTATTTCATTACATTTGACAATTTAGTGAATATACCTCTAATTGTTTTATCTATATATTATGATTGAGATATATATTCAAAATTACACACGCACATACAGATATATACAATTAATAAGGCAGTGGCAAATTTTGGTTACAATAAACAAACTGGAAGTGTGCTCTAAGTTGTCAAGTTCCACACATCTGATATTCTATCCTAAAAAATGGCCCTAATTGATTCGCTACAGTTCTCAGTTTAGTGAATCTGAGTCATAAAAAAGACACATTGGCAATTACATAACACCACCAGAAAAACTGAATTGAGTTTTCTCTGTGTTTGAAGCATGTCCTAAAAAGATATTTGATTATCTTCTATGGAAATATAATTTCTCATTCGGTGTACACATACCTAGGATAGCGAGATCCACCCTGTTTTCCTGAATTCCCCAATTTTGCAAGCTGATAGACAGGAAAATAAAAGTTCTGCCTTGCAGTATGTAGCATTCAAATGCTGCAGGAGCAATATCAATATCACCCCCTAACAGTCTGGGATTTAGGGTTTATCCAGTTGTGTCTAAGGTGTTTTTATAAAAAAAAAAAACACCTTAGACACAATAGGGCAATCCCTAAATCCTGGACTGGTAGGTAGGGGGTACTTGAGGACTGGGTGGGGAACCCCTGGTGTAGCACATTAGGGCATTACTGAAAAAGTCATGAATTATTTTAAAAGTTTATACTAGGTATATTTGTTTGTATATTTGAATAGATGATAAACATTTATAGGAGTACTTGACTAGAAGGAATTATCTTGTAGTGATTGGAAAAGGGTTAATAAACATTGACATATAAACACGGGTTTGTTTGTTTGATTGATATGAAACTGGAATGGAAAAAATGAGATAAGGCGTCTCTTTGGTGCTTTTTAATAAGGGGTCACTGTATGAATTGTTTGGGGTTTTCTTTCCCTGTATTCCTGGCAATGGTTTCGGAGTGATATAGAGTATTCTAGGCGTATGCTTGTCTCAGAGGTCTATAATCTTCCAGCAGCCACATGGCTCCCAGGGCCCCTTTTTGAAAGCGTGGATTTCGCTTTGCTGTGCCAAGAGAAAAATAGTTTTGCGAGCAGCTCCTGCCCTGGTCCTCCACCCCTCCCTACACACACAGGGAGGCGGCAGCAGGAGTGTGATGTGGCTGTCCCAGAAATTGGGGGAGGGGAAGGGGAGAGAGTGAATTTAGACTGTTTTGGGAAGATAGAAGGATGCAAGACCACCATGCAAGACACATTCCCAATACTATTCCAAGATTTCTCCCTAAAGCAGTGATATACCAAAAACCAGAGTTTTTAAAAGATTTATTATGGCTCACCACAAACTTTCCAGGCTGAGTAAATCAATTGAACTTTGTTTCAGACATAACAATGTGTCTGCCTGTTACTGTCATAGGGATTCTCTAGTATTGGGATCCCTATAACTAATTGCTGAGTGTTGGTGGATTCCTGTGGGACATGTGATGTTTAAAGTTATAGAGCCTGCACTAGGACACAGAGAAGGGAGGGGGCGCCTGTAGGGTGTAGTAAATGGTCAGGTTTGCAGAGCTGTGCAGTGGGGGTTGCTGGCTCTGATCCCAGTGGATGGGGGCTGGGAATAGTGCTTTAGAAGGGGAGTGTGCTGAGAAAGCATGGGAGGCTCTTTTAGGGTAGTTTGAAGAAAGGAAAACTTTTATTACCTATGCATAGCTCCTAACAAAGAAATCTAAATCCTTGTTACTCGATCTGTGCTGTATTGGGCCTCCCTGAACAATGGAAAGGGATAGATGCCTAATTGCAACATTAACCTTTTCAGTACAGAGAACGATGGCTTTACTAAAAAACAAAAGGCTAAGCTGTTGAAAGGGTCAATCTCCATGCTTTCTTAAAGAACCCAAAGCACTTTATTTAGATTGACTCTGCTCCGGCACTAAGACAAAGAAAATGTGTACTACAGGTCTAGCTACTGTATGAGCCCCAGGGTAGCACAAAATTCAGGATGAATCTTTCATTGCCCAATATGGGCTCAAAAAATAAAGTAATACAAATGACCATTATTTTTTGAAGATTGTATATAATGCAAATTATTTTTTCCCATACCCATGACAGTACTATGCAGTCAAGTATGATAATGTTTCTCTCTAAGCCTTCAAGAGCCCAAATGTTGTTAGAGTTTATGATTTTAGTAGTTAACATGTAACCAAACATGGCATCCAGAACACAACGCGATGGGGTTTACTCACTAAACATGCAACTGTAGTAAAATGAAAACCAAAATTCAAAATTTAAACTAACATAGTCACACCATGGCTATAGCTCAATTTCAGAATGTTTTCATATCTGCTGTTTTTGTCTTAATGTTGCGGTTCATATTTCATTTTGATAACATTTGCAGTTTAGCGAATAACCCCCAAAATGTAATTTATTCTGAAAAATTATATTCAGTAAACTAGGAGTTTTGAGAGAAAAAAAAAAAGAGAAATTGAATAAATATTTGAGTGGGAGAGGGCTTCCAGTTTGGCTGTTTTCTTCCTAAAATGCTAATTTCTTTTCTGCTCCTGGTTTTATAAATAACCACCTGGATTTCAACATGCAGGACTGTAGGAGTTGGTGATCAGCACTGTAAGGAATAGAACTTTCCAGTCTACAATGAATTTAAAAATGAGTATATACTTTTTTGGCAGGGGGGATGGGGGGATCTGTATGGTTGTAATACACTTTTTTTTTTCTGTGTGCCCAAATAAGGGAAAGCTACTTCTATACTAGAGAACTAGTAGTTTTCTTGTTGCTAGGATAACAAATAATTGATCGCTTACCCTGAGCTGTGCTTTTATTGATCTGTTTATACATATAGCAACTTCTTTTTATTGTTTTTGTTTGTTTTGAAATAAGTAAACATGGGTAAAAAAAGCCTGCAGCAGCCAGCAGGGAAAAAGATGATTTAAAAATTAGTAAAATTTTTTACTAATATTGGCGTTCTGTATATTTGTTAACCATTAAAACACACAAACACATTTTAAAATTTTAGAACAGACATTCCATTTGCAAGGGGGTTGCTTAAGGGGTATGTTGGGGGGTACATAAGAGGATTTAATTAGCTGACTGCTGGTAGAATAATAAACTAATGAAAATACCATGCAGAACTCTTATGAATTTCTGTGTATGTTTCAGTGAATAAAAAGCTCTCAGCTATAAAATGTTATAACTAAAATCGACTTTAACAAGGTTAACAAGACATTCGCAATAGAAGATATCTCAGTGTGAAAGTTATATTAATTATATAAACAGAATTGAATCAATAATGTAAAAGAATAGGTCTACTTATTAGATGAAGCTTTTTTTAATTTGTTTTATTGTTGGACAACCAACTTTGTTAAATTTAGCCAAGAAGCAGAGTTTTAGAAATTCTACCAATATGGATCGGTTATATTTTTTTAGTTTTAGCTTAACTAAATTGCATTAAATGTTGAAAATCCATTGTAATTTCTAGCTGTACACATAAACATTTTAAATTGGGAGGTATGTGTGAAAAGGGGCATTATTGGGGTAGTGTATGAGTTTACCTACTAGTAGTAGGTGCCAAATGGTTATACAGTTTGTTTGTGAGCTGTACATGTAGAGTGTGTGCGTCCAGGTGCCTCAAACAAACGTAGGTATATATAATCTGGTTTAGCTATTTCTTTGGACCTTTCACAAACCTTAATATTTACTGTATGTACGATACACACAAACATACATACAGTAAATATTACCCAGGGTTCAATATTTCAGCTAGCCACTGGCAAGTGGAAATTCATCATTTTGATTTGACCCAAGAGATGGAGCCTGGGTACAAATAATACAGTGGCCTTTTTGAAAATTCTAGTTGTTATGTGGTATACAGATTATTCTCAACCTACATTTTTTTTTTAAATCCAATTCTACTGGTTTGGCCTAAAGACTGAAAAAATACCACTCTAAGTTACTAACTGTTCAATCTTTAATAAATACTTCTATTAATCTTGCCATGCATGTGTTGTACCTATGTATCTATAGATTTCTAGACATAATTACAATAATAAAAACAATCAGAAGTTGAATTCCAGACTTGCCACAACAGGTAGCCCCAAAGTCTCCCACGTGCCAGCCACCTCCTCTGCATTCTTTTCTGAATTGTTCCAGAATACATGGATAAAATTAGAGAGGATGCAGGGTGAGAGTGCAGGTGTGTTCAGGATTTATTTTGTTTGCTCACCTGTGCAGATACCGAATGTAGGAGAGAATATGTGCATTTGTACTCTATATGTAAATCCATTGCTAGCTATTAACTAACACTTTTCCAACAATGACCTTTATTTGTAAGAATCTTCTCAGTAACAGAAAGCCTGTAACGGAACATGGGAAATCAGTAGCCTCAGTTTTGACAGAAAATGTGTGAAGCACACTTCTCTAAATGCAATAGGAAGTTATTAAAGTCTACACAGGAAGCTTGGAACATACTATTGTCTTCTTAGATGAAACTGATGTGTACACTGCATTCATTTTAGTTGACTTCTAAAGCAAAATGAGTTATACCAGTGATATTATATCAACCCTGATACTCAGGGCTTTCTGTTCATATTATTGTAGGTTTAACATATATATTTAATTTAGATAAAATAGAAATATTTCTATTATTTATATGTTCAAACATGTATTGAGGTAAAAATGCAAAAAAAGTATTCCAAATTAGTATGTAGGAACTTTTATCTGTGGAAAAGGACAGATTTTTATTTGATACCACGGAAAATGTGTTGCACAGAAAACTGTATTTGCTAATTTTTGCCTAGAATAGACCAGCATGGAAAATAGATTACCTGATTTATTTTTATTTATTTTATTTTTCATTTAGAAAATTCTATTTTCATTCAAAGGAAGACTATAGGGTCAGGAACACAAACATGTATCCCTGACCCTCTAGTGTTAAACATCCTATTTAGCTTCCTTGTTCACTCTTGCCTCCCATAAATATAGTAAAAACATACATTATTTCCAGTGCCGGGCGGGTCAACTGGTGCTGGTTCCGTCCCAGATTCGCCTCCTTGGCTGATATTATCAGAAGAGGAGGGATGAAACCAAACAGCACCCTTGCCAATCAGCATTGACTCAATGCAGCTCTATAAGGAAAATTCAGTTTCTCCATGCAGAGGGTGGAGACGCTGAACGTTGGTGCTGCACATTGTGCAACAGTGCCCCAGGAAGCACCTTTAGTGGCAGTCTAGGTGTTCCTAGGGAGCAATGAAAACCTTTGGTTCAAAACAAAAAGTATGCAGGGACAGTCTATAGACACCAGAACAATTACATTAAGCTGTAGTTGTTCTGATGACTATAGTGTCCTTTTAACTTGGGTCTGTTTGCTTTCTGAAGTCCCAGGGGAAGTGATACATTGTGAGCCAATTCCAATCTTTTACTGTGCATTTAGAAAACACTAGAACACTGTGCACTAGATATCATGTTTCATTTTCACAACCCTATGTGAAGAAGTTATGAACCCTCTGTGTGCTAGTAATGTTGTGTGATGGATTGCTCACACTACCATCAAACAGATTTAATGCTAGTAGCAGCAATAGTAGTGTGTTTATAAATAAATTGTAGTTGAATATACTCTGCATTGGCATCACCTCTAGCACTCTGCTTGTTTTTCACAACAGTTCTTTAGAAAGAGAAATCTCTACCCAGGAGATCTCAAATATGAACACACTTGTATATTTGATGGATTTTATTGTATTATTAAACAAGCCAATGTCCTGGATTTACTTTCAATTTACTTTCGTCTCTGTACAAGCCATATACTTTTACATACTATGCGGTGTGTGTGTGTGTGCCGTGACACACACTCACACACACACACACACACACACACACACACAAATATGTGTGTGTGTATATATATATATATATATAAAGTGGAAAATGCAGGCTGCACTCACGGAATTTTGAATTCAATAGTGTTTATTTCATCAAACAAGTAGAAAAAAATCAATGTTTTGGTCCGCACAGGGATCTTCCTTAGGATCAAGTGATAAATGGCCCCATGTTGAAATGCTTGATTTTTCCCTGCAAATACCCGAAAGCCGGGTCATTCGGTACTTTCCCTATGTGAGCAGTGTTACCCTAGATAGCTATGCCATGGAGCCCATTCGTATAATGAAAGACTATGTGAAAGACTTTGGCTCCATGGCAATTGAACTGTATGTATGTGATCTGAGCACCATTCAGTATTAATGTGCGCTCAGATCTAAGCTATCTGGGGATATGTTGAATGTACCTATTTTATGTAATAGCTGCACAGTTATATATTTTTATGTAGTTTATTGTATTTTGCTACCATGTGGCTAATGGAGTTTTGTCTCTGTCCTTGGAGATAATTGGATTACTTCCCAATTATCTCCAGGATAGAAGACTCTGTGGAACTGATTTTCAGCAGAAAAGCCATGCTTCATTTGGTCACAAAGGACTTTGATCTCACTTTTGACCCACTGGACCAATTTGTATGTTTTTGACTTAGGTTTGTTTTTGGAGTATGCGGATTCTGAAAATGTTTTATATGAATGTGATGCATACTTTTAAAGTTATGAATATTGTGTAAAACTGTGTATTTTCCTGCCTGTGATAATTATATTAACCCATTGTGTAAGGTAATTGTTTCACAGGCAGAGGGGAGGATATTGTGTGGGAGTGTCTAAGTGTATTGTACGTGTTTATTGGTTGTTTTACAAATCCCTGTGGGTGGTACTAATGTGTAAGAATGTGTATATAAGAACAATAAACCCACAGCTCTGTCAGTTCTACTTCACCCTCAATTTGGAGTGCCATCTCTTATTGGTGGAATCTGCTACAATGGATTACTATTTTCGGCATACTCTCTTGCTATATTCACTGCTAAGCTCTTGTAAGAGCTTGTTCCTGTTTTGCTCTCTGGAGGAGTCTACGGTGGTTATGCAGTGCTTGGAGTCCTCAGGAAGCGCTTGGAGCATCCTTCAACGGAGGTACCCAGTCGGGGTGCCAGGTGATCCGTTACACACAGTTTGTTTGTTGTTTTATGCTAATGTGTTATGTTCCCAATTCATGGGAATTGTGATAGAAAAGTGAGGTTGGGATTGAAAAAGTGAAATCTGACTTTTCTCAGGTTTTCTGTTCTTCTTGTATTCCTAAGAATAGTTTGCAGAAGCAAGTGAATTCCTTGACCTAGTTTATGTGAAGAATTATGAAGGTTATTCCAGTTTCCTTACATCAGGATTTCTAAAGTTTGTAATCACAATCTTAATTTACAAATATCCCACCGGAGGAATGTGCATCTAAATAATTGACTAAGCAAGTGATTATTCTAGGTATACAGACAGAGACTCTGTTAATCCTTTGAGCTGCATTCTTTCAAATACTGTATATACTCGAGTATAAGATGAGTTTTTCGGCACAATTTTTGTGCTGAAAACCCCCCACTTATCTTATTCTCGAGTGAGTGTCTGTATTATTGCAACTTACATTGCCATAATACAGACCAGGATCACCGGGTTCATTACAAGCCTGGCGGTCCTGTTGGGGGCTGGCAGGAAGCGTTTACTTACCTTTCCTGCAGCTCCTGTCAACTCCCTTCTCTCTCCTCCGGTCCGGTCAGCTCCCTTCTCCTCCACTGTAAGTCTCGCAAGAGCCGCGGGGTCAGAGCGTTGCCACGGGTTATCATGGCAACACTCCGCGCAGCAGTCACACCGCGGACCGGAGGAGAGAGAAGGGAGCTGACAGGCTGACAGGAGCTGCAGGAAAGGTAATTAAACGCTTCCTGCCAGCCCCCCTCCTACACAGCCAATGCCACTGGACCACCAGGGAATGAGAGCCCCCATGTATCAAGCTTGGAGGGGGGACAAAAATAAATATAAATAAAAATTTAAATAATATAATAAAAATATTAATAATATTAAAATAAAAATAATAATATAAAAAAATAATAATATTAAAATAATAATTAAAAAAAATAATAAAAATTTCCAGCCCCCACCAAGGTTACACACACTGCATTCATACACACACTGCATTCATTATATACACAAAATAAATATTCAATTAATGTAATTTTTTGGGGTTCTAATTCTATTTAGAAATTTACAAGTAGCTGCTGCATTTCTCACCCTAGTCTTATACTCGAGTCAATAAGTTTTCCCAGTTTTTTGGGGTAAATTTAGGGGTCTCGACTTATATTTGGGTCGACTTATACTCGAGTATATACGGTACATTTTTTGAAAGAGCGGTCAAAGAGGCAAGATGCCTTAAAAAAAATTAAAATTAAGCTATGGTTCAAACTTTGGCAATCTTTCACTTTCTCCATAAAAAAAAAAAAAAAGGCTGGTGTGATAGGCTGAAACAACACATCCAAACCCATAGCTTGATTCACATCTTATTATAATCAGTTACCCAATTTAGTTCTATTACTGGAACACATCCACAAACGATTCTGCTTTGCTGTTTCTCCTGTGAAGCTCATTCACAGTATCCAAATAACAGACGGCAGTTATTTAGTGACTGTTCATGCTGTACACAGCAACTCTTTTGTTTTCCCTTTACATATACACGCTTTGGGCAATTTGTTCCACTGGTACAGAGTTTTGCAGAAACCAGTACATTTCTGTTCTGCGTGCAAAATATTATAATGTAACAAAACACTTTTTTTTTTGTTACGTCTCCAATATGAAGCAGTTACATAAGTTCCTTTATCCACGTTATTACTATGTTTACTTGTCGGGAAATCGGTAATGGTGCAAATTAATGGCAACCTATTCTCTGCAAGTATTTAAATCTGCTGGTTTGCAGTAATGCGCTTCAAAGTACATAAAGACATAGAGTCCTCCCGTTTGTATAAAAATAGTATGGAAACCTTTCTTTAAGGGCACTGTAGCTAAGGGGTAAGTAACCTTTGCATTCTGAATATTTTTGGATAGCAACTTCATTCATCTTCTGTCAGCAACTGGTTGACATGCAAGTTTCCTATTCTAGTTGTAGATGATGCTAATCAAGTTTTTCACAGCTGCAGTTCAGTGCAGTTATAGATAACCTCCTGACATTGCAAACTATATATCCCATGATGCTCACTGGCCACTTGGCAAATATAGTCTAATATAGTTTCTGCACTGAAGGTTAACGATCACTGGTGTACTACAAAATATCTGTATAGAAAATATGACTTTTGATCCAATAACATTTTACACTAAAAATCATATGACTTAAACCATCCCTGATTCATTTTTTTTGTTGTTGTCATGAATATAGAAAACTAGACCTTTTTTGTCAAAATGTAATTTACAACAATGTATCTTATTTACACATATATTTTTTTTTGTAGGCTAAAGACACATTACAATAAAGGAACATGATAGGGCCAGGAACACTAACATGTATTCCTGACCATGTAATGTTTAAAGGACCACTATAGACACCCAGACCACTTCAGCTTAATGAAGTGGTCTGGGTGTCAGGTTCATCTAGGATTAACCCTGCCTGCTGTAAACATAGCATTTTCAGCGAAATTGCTATGTTTACATTAGGGTTAATCCAGCCTCTAGTGGCTGTCTCATTGACAGCCACTAGAGGCGCTTCCACGCTTCTCACTGTGACTTTCACAGTGAGAAGACGCCAGCGTTCATAGGAAAGCATTAAAAATGCTTTTCTATGGACTGACTGAATGCAGGCACAGCTCTTGCCGCGCATGGGCATTCAGCCGATGCCGTCCAAAGGAGGAGGAGAGTCCCCAGCATCGAGGGAGCCCGGCGCTGGAGAAAGTTAGGAATTTAACCCCTTCCTCCAACTTCAGCATGGTGGGAGGGGGGACACATGAGGGTGGGGGCACCCTCAGGGCACTGTAGTGCCAGGAAAAGCCACCATCTAGCACCACCCTCCCTTCTCCCCTAAATATAATAAAATCTTACTTTTATTTCAATCTGCTGCTGCTGGCTCTGCCCCTGATCTGCCTGCTTGGCAGACATCATAAGAAGGTATGATCTGAGCCAATCACAATGCTTTCCCATTGGAAAGCATTGGATTGGCTGATATTGTCAATAAAGCTAGTACACTCCAAACACAGCCCTGGCCAATCTGCATCAATCAATGCATCTCTATGAGTAAAGTTCAGTGTCTCCATGCAGAGGGTGGAGACACTGTCAGTGCAGGATGCAACTCTAGTAGCCATCTGGGGAGAAGCCAGTAGAAGTAGGCTGTAATGTAAACACTGCATTGTCTCTTTAACCCCTTAAGGACTGAGCCAAATGTACACGTTGTGAACAAAACAAAACGTAAACAAAACCTGGCATTTGCGCTATATATCTGTTCAACCGTAATTCACCTCTTTCATATTAAATGCACCCACCCTTATTATATATAATTTTATTCAGGGGAAACAGGGCTTTCATTTAATAGCAAATATTTAGCTATGAAACATAATTTAATATGAAAAAAATGGGAGAAAATAAGAAATGTTATTTTTTTTAGTTCTACATGACATTTTAACTGTCAATGTCATAATACTGTTTGCTTTTACTGCAATAAAATACACATATTTGTATTCAGCAAAGTCTCATGTGTAAAACAGTACCCCCTATGTACAGGTTTTATGGTGTTTTGGGAAGTTACAGGGTCAAATATAGCACATTACATTTGAAATTGGCATTTGCCAGATTGGTTACGTTGCCTTTGAGACTGTATAGTAGCCCGGGAATGAAATTTACACCCATAATGGCATACCATTTGCAATAGTAGACAACCCAAGGTATTGCAAATGGGGTATGTCCAGTCTTTTTTAGTAGCCATTTGGTCACAAACACTGGCCAAAGTTAACATTAGTATTTGTTTGTGTGAAAAATGCAAAAACCACCAATTTTGGCCAGTGTTTGTGACTAAGTGGCTACTAAAAAAGACTGGACATACCCCATTTGCAATACCTTGGGTTGTCTACTATTGCAAATGGTATGCCATCATAGGGGTAATTTTCATTGGGCTACCATAGGGTCTCAAAGGCAACGTAACCAATCTGGCGAATTTTAATGTGAAAAAAATGAAACACAAGCCTTATATTTGATGCTGTAACTTTTGAAAACACCATAAAACCTGTACATGAGGGGTACTGTTGTACTCGGGAGACTTCGCTGAACACAAATATTTGTGTTTTAAAACAGTAAAAAGTATCACAGCAATAATATCGTCCGTGTAAGTGCTGTTTGTGTGTGAAAAATGCAAAAAACTTCACTTTTACTGGTGATGTCATCGTTGTAATACATTTTACTGTTTTGAAACACACGTATATAATTATGTATATAGATATATATATTATTTCGTTCTACATGTATTTTGATATAAATATATATTAATATCACAATACAGTTAGAACGAAATAACACACATCTATATATTTTTTAATTATTTATTTATTTTATTTTATTTTTTAACGTATTTAAATTTTTTTTATATATTTTATAAATATATATATAAAACAATAAATAAATATATATATATATATATATATATATATATATATATATATTGTAAAATACACCTAGACAGTGTATGTGTGTGTTTGTGTGTATGTGTGTGTGTGTGTGTATATATATATATATATATATATATATATATATATATATATAATCTAAGTATATTATTTTTTTTTACACTGATTTTAATTTAATTTAATTTAATTTAATTTTATTTTATTTCCAGCCAGAAGGGGGACTGTCATTACAGGCAGCCAGCTAACCCGGCCATGTGATTGTGAGGTCCTTGCAAGGAACTCACTCTTACATGGTCTTGGGGGGATCCCAGGTGAGTCTCTCCAACCGCGATCGCCGACGTGGGATCGCCGGCGACCGTGTAAGTAAGAAAAACTGGAGGGCGTACTATTACGCCCTGCAGCGTTTAGAGCCGCTTAGAATAAGGTGTACTAGTATGCCCTCCGGTTTTAAGAGGTTTAAAAAACAGTGTTTACTGCAAACTGTCTGACGGGAATGATTTTACTCACCAGAACAAATACAATAAGCAGTAGTTGTTCTGGTGACTACAAGTATTATTGCTGTGGAGCTCTGTTATACAATCAGGCACACAAACTAAATGAAGCTCCTAGAAAAGAGGGACATTAGGATGAAAAGAGGTACAGAGGGATTAAGGCCCAAAATAGGGACATTTCCTCCTAAATAGGTACGCTTGGGAAGTATGGATCACTGTTGCTGTTTTTACGTCTTCATTTTTGAAGTGCCAGAATGTTAAAATATTTACTTAGCTGCCTCTGCTATGCTGTTAAATTGTTGATCATGGTAGTGCTAAAGAGTTGTGAGAAGAAGGAGAGTTTAGAATAGAATATTTATTGAAAATTCCAATTCATTTAAAAGATACCATAAGACAGTGAAGGTATTATGTTTAAACTCATGGTAACATCATTGGCTTAGAACCAAAAAAAACAGATTCATATCCCAGTCAGATATGGCCTGTAAGTGTCCCTTGGCTTGACACCTTATGGTATATATCTACCTACCTCAAATTCTCATAGATTGAAAGCTTGTTTAGCAGTTGCCTCTTCTCCTCTTCTATAATTGTAAAGTGCTGCAATTTGGAAGAACTATACAAATGCTAATAAGAATTACTTTCTTTTATGTGGGAGCTGATTTAAAGTGATCAAAAGGCAATCTCCAATTAGTTTCCACCTGCCTTACTATTTCCAATCATCTGTCATTTACAATGGCTGATAAAAACAGGCATTCTCTCAAAATAGATATATTCTCAAGTGATGCACATTTGATGCACAATGACCACCCATGGGAGCTTCCATAGACCCCTGTTATGACGATGTAGCGTCTGGTGGCACTGCAGATGAGGTAGTTCAGAAGATCAAAGGGACGCTATAGTGCCAGGAAAACCAACTTGTTTTCCTGGCACTAGAGCTCCCATCCCATGGTGCAGAAGGGGTTAAAGCCCCCTTCTGTCACTTACCTTAGTCCAGCGCAGATGTCCCTCGATGCTGGCTCAGGTCCGCCTTCGCTCCTCTCCTACCAACTTCTGCTGGCGGGGAAGACCTAATGAGCAATTTGCGTCAATGTCCAAGCTCACAGTAGGATTTTCACATTATTATATAATGCATAGCGTGAGGACGTCCAGCATCACTTAGGCAACCAAAAATCACCTACACCACTTAACCCTGCAAGTTAACCATGAAAGGTAATTATTGTAGTTTTTTTTTAAAAATGGCAAATATTATCTTTGCAAGGTTAAGAGTACCGGGACAGTGCACCCAGACCATTTCAAAGAGCTGATGTGGTCTGGGTGCCTATAGTGTCCCTTTAATGTACATGGAGGAAAAGATTTAGCTGAGTATTTCTCCTTTCCCACTTTCCGTCCTGGCAGCAACATACTAGTGGATACATCACCTTGTGGCTGAAAAATTTACAGATACAAGAAGTGACTACGTGAGTTTAAACACTTGGTGCTAACATTTTAAATAAGTCTTTCTAAACCTTTCAAAAAAAGAAAAAAAATAGATAAACTAGTCTCCTCTTTTGGGGACAATTTTTTATTTTTTTTTTAAAAGCAAGATTATAGCCAACATGTTAAAATCTTTACAATAAAAGCATGACTGATCTGGTCCTGGCTGCCAAAACAATCATTGTATGACATTCACCATTAGTCAGTTGATTTAATACATCTGTCTACCTTGGAGATGTACAAAAGGTTCTATATTATTCCATTAAGCCTTGGCAGAGCACAGCATGGACCATGAACTGGTTAATCACCAATCTTTTAAAAACGTTAATTTAGTTTGAGACTAAGCCTGACACAAAAATTAGGTGAATGGTATGAATCATATTCCTCTAAGTTCAATTTAATATTTGAAGCTTTTTTTTCTAAGTAATTGCAAGGGCAACATTTGTCTTAACATGTAATTCTAATTTACCCCCTACAGCAAACATTTTCACTTCTTTTCTTTCATGTGCTGAGCGCTACATCATTAGCAGACTGTCTTTGCCACTTGAAAAAAATATATTTTTTCTTGTGATACACAGCCTCCTGGCTACAATAGCAGATCCACATATCAATCCCTTCACAATTTAACAATATATTGTATTTTTTATTTAAAGCCTCACAAGCACGGAGGTATGGCGAAGGGAAATAAGCGTGGTTAGAATATCTAAATTCAATGTGAATATAACAAAAACACACAAACAACAAGCTATGTCTGCCTTTTTAACAGCTCTGCTTGAAATGAGCATGTAATTTCAAATTCTGGCATTGGGATAATTTGTTACAAGCTTGGCAAACTGCAGCTGGCAGAAATCTTGAATTCATCTATGTTGTCAGTGCGGAATTGGAAGAAAAATATGCCGTCCAGTCACCAAGAATATATTTTTAATAAGCTGTTTGTTTGCATTGATAGATGATTACTCAGTATCCACTATTTCCCACAGTCCCTGCTACAAAGTTTGTGTGTTTGTTGCGCGCATAATAAATAAATAATAAAAAAATATATATATCATCTCAATGTATCCTTCCGGGTAAAATATTTTATAAATACGTGTGTGTGTGTGTGTGTGTGTATATATATATAGGTGTCCTGAGTAAAGTTCACAGTTGTGAACTGAAACGTTGACCACTTGGATTAAATGCCTATTTTTTCACATTGAAGTCCTTGAGTGCTGGCTTTCTTTTTGGAGACTGTATTTGTGTGCAGCTGAGCACCGGGCCAAGATTTGGAGGAGAGCTGGAGTGCAAAACTCCCATTGTATTGTGTGTATGTGTGTGTATATATATATATATATATATATATACATACATATATATATATATATATATACATACATACCAGTATGTAGAAATATAGGCTGCACTCACGGACTTCAAATAAAAAAAAAAAAAAAGTGCTTTATTCCATAAAACAAGAAAATCGACATTTCGGTCCACGCACGTACCTTTCTCAGGATGAAGTGATTCATCCTCAGGAAGTTCCCTGCATTGACCGAAACGTTGATTTTCTTGTTTTATGGAATAAAGCACCTTTTTTTTTTATTTTTATTTTTTTTTTATTTGAAGTCCGTGAGTGCAGCCTATATTTCTACATACTGGTATATATCAAGATCCCTAAAAGGACTGGCACCATGGCATCAAGACAGTAGGACATTCAAGCGTGAGTGCAAGGATATATTTATTGTGTGTGTATATGTTTAGCAATTTGTAGTAGTCTACATTCCATCAGCAACAATGGGTTATGTAGCAGTTAAAAAAATGTCTTTGATAAGGTAGCATTTTATTGGTCTAATGATATAACAACATCCAATTATGTACCTTGTGTTTTGGAGTGTATCTCCTATGTCTTTGAAAATTAACACTATAGGCACCCAGACCACTTGATCTCACTAAAGTGGTCTTGGTGTAGTGCCCTATCCCCTTTACCCTGCAAGTGAAAACATTGCAGAGTTAGAGAAAACTGCAATGTTTGCATTTCAGTGTGAGCCACTAGAGGCACATCCTGCTCTTTAAAGGGACACTATAGTTACCTGAACAACTTTAGCTTAATGAAGCAGTTTTGGTGTATAGAACATGCCCTTGCAGCCTCACTGCTCAATCCTCTGCCATTTAGGAGTTAAATCCCTTTGTTTATGAACCCTAGTCACACCTCCCTCCATGTGACTTGCACAGCCTTCCATAAACACTTCCTGTAAAGAGAGCCCTATTTAGGCTTTCTTTATTGCAAGTTCTGTTTAATTAAGATTTTCTTATCCCCTGCTATGTTAATAGCTTGCTAGACCCTGCAAGAGCCTCCTACATGTGATTAAAGTTCAATTTAAAGATTGAGATACAATTATTTAAGGTAAATTACATCTGTTTGAAAGTGAAACCAGTTTTTTTTTTCATGCAGGCTCGGTCAATCATAGCCAGGGGAGGTGTGGCTAGGGCTGCATAAACAGAAACAAAGTGATTTAACTCCTAAATGACAGTGAATTGAGCAGTGAAATTGCAGGGGAATGATCTATACACTTAAACTGCTTTATTTAGCTAAAGTAATTTAGGTGACTATAGTGTTCCTTTAATAGAGTTTAACTTGTGTTTTGCATGAGGTCGTCCAGCTTCTTCTAAATCCCCTTACAAAAGCATTAATTCAAGACTATCCTATGGGGAAGACCTTGCCACTCATGTGCATTAGGTTCTTCCTCGCAATCGAATTGGGGGAGACAGAACAAGCGCCAAGGGATCTTGGTGCTGGATTAATATAAGTCTTTGAAGGGTTATTTAACCCTTTTGAGTGCCGCTGGGGGTGAGGTGGGATTGGTCGCAGAGGGACACTAAAGTGTTAGGACTACAGTGTTGTATTTCTAACCCTAGAGTGTGCCTTTAAATGGATCCAACATAATAGGTGCCAAGCTTCTCAGTGATTTTTAGTCTCATTTGGTTAAAAGTCAATCATTAGCCAATACAAGCAGGCATTTCAGCTGTCATATCTTTTTATCTGTTGTCATTTCTGAGTCATACTTGTTACCATTGACAAAGCATTATTTATTGAGATAGTGTATTGCATATATGTTGCTTGCTATATTACCTAAAGTAAGCAAGAAATTAAAAATATTTTATTCACATAAATTGAGCTTGCATAGCTACAGTTTTAAAAGTACCATTTTTTTTTGTTTTTATTTTTTTGGGAAAACTACAATTATATTATATAAAAAAAGCGATAATATTCACATAGCTCCTCTCTTACACTGCTATTTATAAGCATGCTGTCCCCCTTAACCATTCTTCTGTGCTTTTAAAGCACTGTTTGGAAACCTTTAGAAATATTTTTCATTTAACTAACTCAAATAATTCCTATAGAGGAGATTATATATGTATGTATGTGTATATGTGCAATGTTGGATACCAAGATTGATACAGGGACCTCAAGACTATTGTAGAGCTTGAGCTATGTGAATATTTTCTTCCGCTGATCAGTTTAGGTTCTAAATGGAGTAGGTGTGGGAGGGTAGTGAGCTAGAAGAGATATTATTTATTTAATTAAGAACATTTAAATATTATTTTTAAACCAATGTTTATTAAAAACACTAACTGACATTGACAAGTTAATTGTTTTTTTTATAGATTCAATTTCAGTCAAGGTTTAGTTTGTTCAAAGTTTGAGGTTAAAAAAGTCCACAATAGAACACACATGCTAAAATGAATAACAGTTGCACCCATGTTTTTTAGTGCTAGTTATCTAGTTATTTTCGTGTGTATTATTATTATTATTATTATTATTATTATTAAACCACTGTGTTTTCTTTGTTTTCTTTTTCAGGTGATTACGTGTTCTTTGCTCACCATGGGAACATACTTGACCACGCTGCTCTTATTGCTGCTTCTGCAGCATTTTGTGAAGTGTGAAGAAAGTCTACAGTATTCTATGTCCATGCAGTTTACTCAGCACCAATACAATGCTACTGTGTACGAAAATTCAGCTGCAAAGACCTACGTTGGTCACCCAACAAAGATGGGTGTTTATATTCAAAGTCCCTCATGGGACATAAAGTACAAAATTATCTCTGGTGACTATGAAAACATTTTCAAAGCTGAAGAGTATGTTCTTGGTGATTTTTGCTTTCTGAGGATAAGAACCAAGGGTGGTAATTCAGCAATTCTCAACAGAGAGGTCAAAGATCACTACCTCCTCATTGTAAAGGCTGTTGAGAAGAACTCAAATGCTGAAGCACGCACAAAAGTTAGTGTTCAAGTACTAGACACGAATGATTTGAGACCTCTGTTTTCTCCCACTTCATACAGTGTTTCTTTGCCTGAAAATAAAGCAATAAGGACCAGCGTTGCCAAAGTAAGTGCAACAGATGCAGATATAGGAACGAATGGAGAGTTCTACTACAGCTTTAAAGAGAGAACGGACATGTTTGCTATTCATCCAACTAGTGGTGCTATAATATTGACTGGAAAACTTGACTATTCTGAGACCAATAAGTATGAGATGGAGATCCTGGCAGTTGACCGTGGAATGAAATTGTATGGGACTAGTGGTATTAGTAGTATGGCAAGGCTTACTGTTCACGTGGAACAAGCAAATGAATATTCACCTGTGATTACTGCCATTACACTGACTCCTTCTGAACTTGATAAAGATTTAACATATGCAATTGTAACTGTAGATGACCATGACGAAGGGCCAAATGGGGAAATAGCCTCCCTCAGCATAGTTTCCGGTGACCCTTTACAGCTTTTTAAGACTGTTAGATCTGCTCCAGGAAGTAAAAATTACAAAATTGTGGCTTATGGAGAGGTTGATTGGGAGAAGTATCCATATGGATTCAACTTGACTCTCCAAGCAAAAGATAAAGGATCCCCTCCACAGTTTTCCTCTACCAAGGTCATTAACTTGACATCCTCAAGGTTTAAACAAGGTCCAGTTAAATTTGAGAAAGATGTCTACAGGGCTGAAATAAGTGAGTTTGCACCCCCTAATACACCAGTTGTTATGGTCAAAGCATTACCAAGCTACCCTCACTTAAGGTATGTTTTTAAAAATGGTGTAGACAAAACAAGATTTAGCTTAAATCCCATTACAGGCTTGATTAGTACACGATTACCCATCAAAGCTAAACAAGCATCACATATTGATTTGGATATTCAGACAAGTGACAGAAAGGCTTTTACAAAAGTAATGATCAAAGTACTTGGTACGAACAGCAATGCCCCGGAATTTACACAAAACACATACAAAGGTGTGGTAGATGAGAACGTACCAATTGGCACCAGTGTCCTACGGGTTAGTGCCATTGATCACGATGAAGGGGAGAATGGATATATAACCTATAGCATTTCTAATCTGAATCCTGTGCCCTTTGTGATTGATTCATTTTCTGGCATAATTAGTACAAATGAAAAGCTTGATTATGAATTGATGCCAAGGATCTATACAGTGAAAGTCAGAGCTTCCGACTGGGGTTTGCCGTATCGCAGAGAAGTTGAAATTCCTGCTACAATCACTTTGAATAATTTAAATGACAATACACCTTTGTTTGAGAAGATAAATTGTGAAGGGACAGTCCCTAAAGATCTTGGAGTCGGAGAACAAATAACTACTGTTTCTGCTATTGATGCAGATGAACTTCAGTTGGTAAAATACCGAATAGAATCTGGAAATGAGCTTGATTTATTTACAGTGAATTCAAATTCAGGAGTACTTTCATTGAAACAGTCTCTGTTAGATGGCCCTGGGAGTAAAGTCTCTTTTCACAGTTTGAGGATTACAGCTACAGATGGGGAAAACTCTGCCAAATCAATTTACATCAATATTACTGTGACAGCTAGTCGAAAGGTTGTGCATTTAGACTGTGAAGAAACTGGAGTTGCCAAAATGCTAGCTGAGAAACTTCTACAAGCAAATAAGTTATTTAACCGTGGCGCACCAGAGGAAGTTGATTTTGACACACACTTGGCAAACCTGCATGCACCTCAGTTTAAAAGTACACTTCCCAGTAGAATTGTCATTAAGGAAAATCTACCTGTGGGAAGTAATGTGATTCATATGGAGGCCAATGACCTTGACACAGGTTTCAGTGGGAAATTGGTATATGCTCTTTCAGAAGGAAACAATGATAGCTGTTTCAGCATAGACATGGAAAATGGCTGGCTAAACATTTTATCTCCACTTGACAGAGAACTTAAAGACCAGTACACTTTAAATATTACTGTGTACGACCTTGGAATACCACAGAAGTCAGCATGGCGTCTTATAGATGTTGGCATTCTTGACGTAAATGACAACTCACCAGAGTTCTTGCAGGACAGTTACTTTGTTGAAGTAAGGGAGAACGAAGAAGTAAATCAGATCTATATTAAAATTGAAGCAATAGACAAAGACCTGGGTACGAATGGGGAAGTGAGATATTCCATGGTTACTGATAGTGATAGTTTTGCCGTAGACAGTAAAACTGGAGAAGTCAGAGTTATAACACCATTGGATCGAGAAAAACATCCAGTACATTTGCTCAAGATAGAGGCTAGGGACCAAGCAGAAAATGAACCTCAGTTATTTTCCACTGTCCTTTTAAAAGTAATAGTAGAAGATGTGAATGATAACCCGCCAATGTTTATTCCATCAAACTATCATGTTAAAGCTAGAGAAGACCTTCCAGTGGGAACTGTTGTCGCATGGTTAGATGCCTATGATCCTGATGTTGGTGTTGCAAGCCAAATTCGATACAGTCTTATAGAAAATGGAGATGGAAAATTTGAAGTAGATAAATTGAGTGGAGCAATACGTGTAGTACAGGAGTTGGATTTTGAAGAAAAACAAATTTACAACTTGACGGCAAGGGCTAAAGATAGAGGAAAGCCAACTTCTTTGTCATCTACTTGTTACATCGAAATTGAAGTTATTGACGTAAATGAGAACTTGCATGCCCCTAGGTTTTCACATTTTGTACACAAAGGTGTAGTAAGAGAAGATGCCCCAATTGGGACACCAGTACTGACTGTTTCAGCTCACGATGAGGACACAGGACGGGATGGAGAAATCCGATATTCCATAAGGGATGGATCTGGAGTTGGAATCTTCACAATCAATGAAGAAAAAGGTAAAAAATAAAAATAAATGCTTACAAGTTTTCATTGGTATTATATTTGCTTAACATTGATTTTTATTTTATTTTGGCTGCGTGAACCCTTTAATGGTCCGCCTTCTGTGCAGTGTGAATGTTAAGGTGAAGACACTAACAATGTGCCTTTTACTGCTTAGTTTTGCAGAATGAAAAGGTCTCCTTTCTATGCTACATCGAAAAACGATTGGTTTTGAAAAATCTCTAGTCCGAAACTTATCATTAGGGCACGACTATACCTATATCACAGTCAACCTTACTCATGACAAAAGTTTTAGTAAAGGTTTTCATGAGTGCTAAAGTTGTACTTTAAGGGACACTAAACTTACACAGACCATTTCATCTGCATGATGTAATCTGGGTGCAGTGTCCCTGTCCTTTTTAATGTTGTAATGTAAAGCATTGCAGTTTTTCAAAAAAACTGCAGTGTTTACATTGCAGGGTTAAGTCCACTTATAGTACTGTCAGCCAACTGAGGTGCTTCCATTGCACTGACCGAGGGGGGACATGACTCCTAAATAAAAACTAGTACAGGAATACTATTGCATTAGAAATACAGATTTGTATTTTTAACGATATAGTGTTCTTTTAACTTAGGCAGGAACAATCTTTCTGACAAGTTGATTACTATACCAATTTCGCATAGCTTGATTAATTCCATAAATATAACAGTGAATTTTTTTTAATGTAAATTGTTTTTCTTTTATCTACATTTAAATATAAATATGATTATTCAACAGTTTAACAATGAACAGCATGGCATGTCCTCAAGGTAGATATGAAAGCTACTTTAGATGCATTGATTTTTAGTCTCTTGCATAATAAGTTGCATTTTGCATTACAACCATTTATGCCAATAGACTTTTTGTCGCATTGTAAAAACACACAGTTCTGCTTAAAATGTACATTAATGGTCACAACCTGTTTTATAAACACTTCTTTTACAAAATATATTATCTTTTAAACAAAAGGCAAAAATCAGAGTGCGTGAGTGTGTAATGGTAGCATTAAATATATATATTCTACAGTCAAACATAATATCTACATGTTTGGGATATTTTCTAAAGAATTTCTTAGTTTTGCATTCCTAAACTCGGAAAATATATCATAGATATTAGTAGATCTGCTTTATTTTGCATTTATAATTAAGATAATATCTGTCACATTTGAGATAAACATACTCCAAAAACATGGCTTTTAGTTATATCTACATTTTATATTTTTAGATGAATGTAATTTTTTTTTCTATTTGACACCACATCTACAAGTAAACCAAAACAAGTCGTAAACCAAATAAAAAGCTTAAGGGGGAACTATAGCTCCCTATAGCGCCCCCTTCCTAATGCTATCCCCTCCCCCATGGTGCAGAAGGCATTAAAACCTCTAATGTCACTTACCTGATTCCACTGCTAGTGCCCCTTGGTTAATGGTTAATGCCCCCTTTATATTCCTAGTACTATAGTTTCCTTTAAGCAAGTACTGCCAGGGAAATTCTTAGTGAATGTATGGTCTGTCCATGGGCAAATGTGAGTGTGTGCATAGTTTTGAAACGGGTATGAACTTGAATGTATACTAAAAAGTTACCTGCGCTCTCTCCTCAATCCCTATGTATATTTAAATAAATGGTCATTTAGTTACTCCAATGGCCATTGGAGGAAATGCCCGCCTGCCAGCGTCAAGGCAGACACCCATTAAGCGGGTCCTACACTAACTCTTCACCTTGCTTCCTTGAGCTTTTGGCAAAGATATCTCTAATGAGACAGAGAGGGGTATTTTTTATAT